ACTGTGCGACGACCGCCAAGCTGACGACGGCGGCGGCGGCGGCGGCGGCCGTGCAGAATGATTTTGTTAATCCTCAAACGCATTATGGCGTTTCGCCGAGTGTGCCGACGATGAGGGAAATTGGACGCAGCGTCCTCGGGAAGGGGGAGGGGGGAGGGGTGAAAAATAAGTGAACGTCGGGGAAAAGAGGGCGTCGCCGGATTTGCAGAGATGATCCCTTCAGCTGGAATGACACGCGAGAAATGCAATAAACCTGCGCCGCCGCGCTGCCGCCGCCACTTTTTCTTCTCTTTTCAATTAGAAGCTTGGTCTCGCTTCACGCGCCGCCAGTGCGGTGACGGATGGGAAAACAATCAAACGCGATCGCAGTCACGCGGCCGGCAGCAAGGCCGGCAGGCCAACGGGCACGCCCCCGGGCACGCCGGGAATCGGGTCACGGGTTCGAGCCCCGGCCGCGTCCGTTTCAGCCGTCCGAAATGATTCCGTTTTCGGGTGGCTGAACCGGCGCCGCACTGTGGGCCAGAAGGCCGGCGGAGGCGGCCAAAACTCTAGACGCGTTTTGCGCCTCCAGAGTCGCCAAACAGGACTCAAACCGGACGTGTGACCCCACCAATGGATTCCTCGTTCGGAGAGCAATCCATCGGTGGGGTCACACGTTCGGTTCGAGTCCCATTTGGCGACTCAGGAGCTCAAAACGCGTCTAGAGTTTCGGCCACCTCCACCGGCCTTCTGGCCCACTGTGGGGCGCGTCAAGGCAAGGGTAGACGTCACTGGGAGACGTGGACAATGAATGGGCGGGGAGCGAAGAGTACCGACAACACTGGGAACGGGGTAGTGAGGTGTGGGGGGGGGGGGGGGGGGCTGCTGCTGCTGCTGGAGTGCCGAGATGATACCCCAGTGTAATTTATAGGTGCAGCTTAACGCCGGGCGAGTTCGTTTGTCTTCAGATAAGGTCATGTGCAACGCGTACCCCGGGCGCGGGCTGCCAGCCGCCCTGCCAACGCTTCCCACACTCGCGCCGCACTCAGTGCTGCCACACAAGGACACTAGCACGGCGTGTCGGAAGGCTGCCCACCTCAGTCGTCATACGGAGGCCAATATCTTAGCTTTGCTTAAGAGAAAGTGCCTCGCAGACAGACTGAGGTTGGCAGCCCTGCTCAGCGACAGTGGTGCATCGTGGGACATACAGCGTGGCATGGGCAAGGACATGGCGCACAAATGGCCGAGTGAGGCGGGCCTGCGCGGACTGATTCCGAAAGTCGTTTTCGTCGCTCTGTCTCTCTCGCACTCCTCGGGCGTCCCGCGTAGGTGCGAGAGAGGCAGAGCGACGAAAACGACTCTCGGCATCAGTCTGGTGCCCAAGGCCTGCCTGATCCCTGCCTGGGCGCATCCATCTTTCCACCCCACTCCAATTCGTCGCCACCCTGCCACACCCTGCGCGCTGCGGGGGTGGGGGTGGGGGTGGGGGGCCTTCTCCAGGGAAATTGAGCACGTTCGCTCACAACAATGCCCCGTCAAGGCGGCAAAACCCGACCCAGTGTCCCTGCCTGCATGGCCCGCCATGGCCCGCCCACCCAGCCTGCAGGCCGAGAGCCGTTTTCGTCGCTCTGTCTCTCTCGCACGCGCGTGGCGGTTCTCACAGTTGCGAGAGAGACAGAGCGGGTTCGCTGACGCCTCCAAAAGGATTCGGGAAGGGCTTGCCCGGCCTGCCTTGTCCTTTGGAGCTCAATCGAGCTGCCGCGCTGCAGCGGCAAACAAAGAGGCTGCAGATGCAGCCCACAGTGGGCCAGAAGACCGGTGGAGGCGGCCTTAACTCTAGACGCGTTTTGAGCTCCAGAGTCGCTAAATGGGACTCGAAGCGAGCGTGTGACCCCACCAGTGGATTGCTCTCCGAACGAGGAATCCATTGGTGGGGTCACACGTTCGATTCGAGTCCCATTTAGCGACTCTGGAGCTCAAAACGCGTCTAGAGTTTTGTCCGCCTCCACCGGTCCTCTGGCCCACTGTGCACCCCCTTTGATCGGCGGGGGGAAAACGAGCTGCAAAAAAGGGAGGCGAAAGGAGGGCGAGAGATTAGCCCCCAGTTGCATTACAAGGAACCTGCGTCGCCAGTCCCACCGTCGCTTTCCAGGGAGAGTCCGCGAGTGTCGTCCTCTTCCTCGCCGGGTGTTTGTTGAAGGACCTCATCAACATCCTTCCTCGGCGCATCGGAAGGGACCGTCCGAGTGGCGCGGCCGGACGCCATCTCCTTCATCACGAGTGGGTTTAAAAGTGGAAGGGGCGAGGAAGAAAAACAATGGCCGAAAAAAATTCGAGGTCGTTTTCAAGATGGAGGCCGAACGCGCGTTCTGGAACCCTTGAATAATCGAGCCATTGTGTGTCAGTGGGTCCGGGCGGGCGGCCTGGGCGGCCTGGGCCTACGGGAGGTCCTAAATTTACCCGGAAAAAATTAACTCGCTTTTGCGACGGCCCCCGTGGCAGTGGCGGAAACTCTTCTGCCGGAGCGTCGCGTCGTCGCCCGCCGCCACGACCCCGACACAACTTGCAACTTTTTTCACCCGGCATGAAAATCTCTCGGCGCAACACCTCTGGGTGAGGTTCGAACGCGCCTCGCTCGCCGCGTTCCGACGAATCCACTCCGCGGCACAACACCGGAGCGTCTCCGTTCCCCGCGGGCCTCTGCTCCCGCCTGATTGGAAGATAAACAAACTTTTTCCCACATTCCTGTTTCCTCAAGCATTTGCCTCCCGCTGCCCCGGCCGCCCCCTCCGGTGCACCTATTCCCAAAGGACCCGCTCCCTGTCAGAGTGCCACGGCCGTGCCGCCGTGCCACGGCCCGGCTGGCTGATTGATTTGGCTGGCCGATTGTTTGATGGATTGATTTGGCCCGTGGCTTACAGTGGAGGGCCGCCCGACCCGACCTCGGTGCCGCCCGCCTAAATTTACCGTTGTTTTTCCGTGTCTTTCTCCTCTTTTCGACGCGCAGAGCCGGACTCTGACTTGCGCGCTTCCTGCGACGAATATACACACGAGGTTCGCTCTTATCTCTGCGGCTCAGAGCGTGGCGAAAAACACTGCTACCGCTCTCTCTCTCTCTCTCTCTCTCTCTCTCTCTCTCTCTCTCTCTCTCTCTCTCTCTCTCTCTCTCTCTCTCTCTCTCTCTCGGCTCATTGTCGCCGTTGGCATGGAGAGCGCGGCGCGGGCTCCCATTGGTTCCCGCGAGGGTCTCGCGTGGATGGTTCGCAAAGGTTGTGCAGATATATCTTGGCGTTTGATTTTGGCGGCTAACGGTGGAGGGGGGTCTCCCTGCTGGCAACGGCACCGCGGCACAGTGGACTGCTTCCGCACGGCAGGTCTCTCTCTCCTTCTCTCTCTCGCACTCGTGTCTCAAGCCGTGCGGGTGCGAGAGAGACGAACCGCGAGCTCGGAGTGTGCCTGCAGGCGGCGGGTGGGGTGCGGCGGGGTCTCGGAATGTTACCCAGGGGGGCGGGCCAGCGGGCACGGCCACCACCACCACCACCACCTTGGCCTGCTGCAGCACTTGCTTGTCTTGGTTCACATGATTAACAGATGGCGTAGGCGTAGGCCGTAATGTAGTGTGGCGAAAGCATCCGAATTCCTAACGCCGAGCTCGAGGGAATGCGGTTCGCAAACTGCGCCCAGCACGGCGGTTCCCCTGTCTCCCTTGCACTCACGGGGAGCCCCGTTCAGGCGCGAGAGAGACAGCACCAGTCTAGTGGGGTAGGGCCGATGCAGCAGCAGCCTCGCCTCAACTGCGGTTCGGCCAAACTAATGGCACGCACTCTTGACAACAACAACAAGAAAATTAACCGTTTGTAAAAAAAAAAAAAGGAACTAGGTCAAGCTCAGCTTGTCTGCAAACAAACAAAAAAATGGCGTCTCTTTTATTTTTTATACTTTTCGGCCGTGTACTCCGTGCCTACGGCTGTAGCCTTTCATTATTCGTTGCGCAATGATGCATAAATTGCAGATATTTTAATTCTTCGCCGTTTCCCGAGATGGCCGCCCCGCGTCTTTTGTGTGACGCTTGTTGTTGTTGGCGGTGGTGACGACGGCGCATTTATTCTGTCAGGCAGGAAGCAGTGAGGCGGCCAGGCGCGGCCCGGCGGCCGAAGGAGGCGCATAGTATAGCTTGTCGCCCGCGGCCGTGCCTAGGACGTGCTCGGCAAAGTTCATTAGACGCAAAACTAGATTCCGCGTCTCTCTCTCTCTTCCTCTTTCTCCCTCTTGCTCCTTTGAGGGCTGCCGCTGGGCCAAGCAGGCATGATAAGACACGGCTGTGGTCGCTTTTAATGGTACCTTTTCTCGGAGGGTACACGGCTCTCATCGCAATCGGACGAGCAAACAGACTTCCTTCATGGTTTCGCCGCGTCCTGGGAAAAAAGTGGCTTTGTTCCGAATTTTAGACCGTTTTAATTTTACTTTTCCGCTCGGAATAAATATTTTTTTTACGTTTCTGTCGTTTGGAAGGCCTTTGAGAATGTACCAAAATCACACTTCAACCGTGCAGCATCCACGTGTCATTAAAAAGTGAAAGGCAGAAGACGTAATCAGTTTTTTCTAATTAAAATTGTCCCGTGTGGCTCTCGCCTCGCATCGACGCGGCACTGTCATTTCGCACGCAGCGCCACGCCACCAACCCCCGCCTCGCCCTCCTTGGCGATTTACGGCACGTTCGGTTGGCCGCCCTGATAGAGCTGACTGATAAGGCAAACAGCCACTACACTGGTCGTCCGTCGTGCTCAGCGAAGTCTCCTCTCTTCCTGTGACATCTCTACATTATTTCTTTTCTTTGTTCCCGAGTTCACCAAGACGCCCGTGCGGATGTCGGATAAGAAGCGCTTTTTTGTTTGGCTGGCTGGCGGGGCGGGGCGGGGCGGGGCGGGGCCGGACGGGCCGGACACAATGGCGGCGCGCTGTCCCTCCTCGGAAATAAAGTGCGATTGTGGAATAAACCTGGGTGTCGTTTTGGCTTGCAGAGCCCAAGACGGAGATCATCGGGGCGCCCGAGCTGTTCATCGACAGAGGCTCCACCATCAACCTCACGTGCATCATCCTGTACAGCCCCGAGCCGCCCGCCTACGTCTTCTGGAACCACAACGACTCGGTGAGGAAAACAAAACGCCGTTACTTCAAACTGTGACGAAAAATGCGATGACGACAAGAAGCAAGGGGAGAAATGACTGCAAATTTCGGTGTACAAATCTAATGAATTTCACTTGAACTTCAGGCAAAAACAGAAGAATGTTGGTGAATTTTAATGAATTTTAGTTAATTTTAAATGTTTGTTGAAGTTTGGTGCACAAATTAGAGTTTTTTTCCATTGAATTTCACTTAAACTTCGATGAATTTCGGGCAAAAACTACGGAAATTATAGGCCAATTTTGATGAATTTTAATGAATTTTAGTGAATTTCAAGTTGTTGTTGAAGTTTAGTGCGCAATGTAGAGTTTTTTTCCCCTTGGAAACAAGAACGGAAATTTGTTTTTTCAGATCATTAGCTACGAGTCGCCGCGCGGCGGCGTGGAGGTGCAGACGGCCAGGGGGGACACGACGACGAGCGTGCTGCTGATCCGGAAGGCCAAGCCCTCGGACTCGGGGCAGTACAAGTGCAACCCGTCCAACGCACAGAGCCAGCAGGTGCACGTCAACGTGCTCAACGGTGAGTGCCTCGCCGCCTCGTCCTCGCCTCGGGGTTGTGGCGCACAGTGGGCCAGAGGACCGGTGGAGCCGGCACAAACTCTCGACGCCTTTTGAGCTCCAGAGTCGCTAAACAGGGCTCGAACCGAACGTGTGACCCCACCAATGGATTCCTCGTTCGGAGAGCAATCCAATGGTGGGGTCACACTTTAGGTTCGAGTCCCGTTTAGCGACTCTGGAGCTCAAAACCCGTCCGGGATTTCGTCCGCCTCCGTCGGTCTTCTGGCCCACTGTGCGGCGCGGCACGGACTCTATGTTTGCTGTTGTTGCAGGCGAGCTGCCCGCCGCCATGCAGCACGGCGGCCAGGGCCACCACCAGACGTCGCACCTGGCGCCGCTGCTGGTCACGGCCTTGACGGCCTTGCTGTGGCACTCGCGGAGCACGGTGCAAGTGTCATAGTCGCTCTCGCCGGTTCGGCCCTGCGGCCTTGCTGCCGGTCCAGTGTAGGGCCCAGCGCCCGCAGGGCTCCCCGGGGGCGGGCCGCTATTGGCCGTCAAACCCCTCCCCTCCCCGTCGACCTCCCCGCCGACCTCCCCGTCGACCCACTGGGCCGCCCAGGGCCGGCGGCATCCGGGAGGACGTCGACGACTGCGAGATAGCGGCCCAAGTTGGCCCTGGCCCGGCCCCGCCCGGCCTGTGTTGTTGTTGTTGTTACTTACGGCCGCACTTTCGCTGGCGGCGACGTGTTGTTGTTTTATCTCCAAGAAGGAAACTATTAAAATGAAAATTTTTTGAGCATGTGATATGTCCTGAGTGACAAAACGTAACTTACGTAACGGTTGATGTCGGTTGTCTGCTGCCGCCACTACTACTTCGGTCTGTGGGACATTGGCGTGTATATTTTTTATTATCAGTATTGTCCTTTTTCGTTCGCCACGCAGAGTGGGTGCGAGTGTGTGTGTGTGTGTGTGTGTGTGTGTGTGTGTGTGAGAGAGAGAGAGAGAGAGAGAGAGAGAGTGAGTGAGTGAGTGAGAGAGAGTGCGCGCGTGTGTATGTGTGTGCGATGGGAAGGCTTTGTGTTGTCATTGTTTTTAGGGTTGGCTTGTTGACGACTGGAAGGTTCTGCTTTTTGTACATAATTTTCTACCCTGTGTGCGTGGACAGTGACTGGGTGTGGAGGGAGGCGACAGGAGCGCCTCCAGTGTCCCTCGAAGCATTGCGTTGTGCCTAGCTAGGATATTTTCTTTGGCGAGTGTGTTAGGATAAATTGCTGAAATCAGTATTCACTTTAAACAATCTTGAACATTTGGCTAAACGTAAGCAGTACATACATGTATATTCAGAACGAATCATTTTCAAACATTCTATTATTGTTTCTTTCTCTGGTGTGATTTGATTGTAACCACCACAATGTCTGTCTCTTATTTTTACTGCCATTCTGCATCGAAATAAGGAACATACCTTCGAGGAATGGCTAATCTACTTCCTAATTTGTAATCTAAATTAAAGTCCCAAAGCGAGACGCAGCTAGAAACGGCCACAGGAGAAGAATGGGTGCTTTTGTAAACCACGGCCTTCTGATAAAGCGTGGCGGCATCACCAGAAAATATTTCCTTGTTTCGGTCGAAGCGCGACAAAAAAATACAAAAATTGTAACTTAAAATTATTAAGGCTCCTTGTCGGCGTTTCTGGCGGAATGTTATGAATCACTAGCGAAACCAATCACCCAACGATCAAATTGAATATATGTAAATAAACTAACGTAAAAAGTGGATGGTTAATTTCATGATGTAAATTTTTGTGTTATAATTATTCGTCTATTAAAGAATGGTGTAAATAACTATTGCAAAATCTGCATTTGATTTGTACAAAAAACAATAAAGATTATGGAGCAAGACGCGACAGCGGGCGTTTCTTCTCTCTCGCATCGCGACGACACCCTCATAAAGTGCTTCCTCTCTCTCTCACACCGCGACAAGCCCCTACCAAGGGCGGTCTGCGAGAGCCACGCTCCTCGTAACCAAACTCTTTGCCATGGCGTCCTCTGGGGCCTCCTACACACGAAAGCGGTAAAAAGGGGGAGGGCACAGTGGGCCAGAAGACCGGTGGAGGCGGCCAAAACTCTAGACGCGTTTTGAGCTCCAGAGTCGCTAAATGGGACTCGAACCGAATGTGTGACCCCACCAATGGATTGCTCTCTGAACGAAGAATCCATTGGTGGGGTCACACGTTCGGTTCGAGTCCTGTTTAGCGACTCTGGAGCTCAAAACGCGTCAAGACTTTTTGCCACCTCCACCGGTCTTCTGGCCCACTGTGAGGGGGGAGGAGGCAGGATTAGTTCAGCGGGCCGCCGTTCTCCCAGAGAGCGCCACGGTCGCACCTCCGCCTGCCGGGAAAAACAGGCGAATCTTGGCGCGTTGACTTCGCGTTGACTTCGGCCGTCTCGTCAACTTTTTACTGTCATTTAAATTACACGGCGATTCTGGCAGGGCGGCCAACGCCAAGTTTATGCGCTTTGTTGGGTAACTAGTCCACGGCGACACGGTGGGGCACCAGCGGGCACCAGACCAGCCCCTTCGAGTGCGTCGCATCGACTGGCTTCAAGGAGGCGGCGCACAGTGGGCCAGAAGACTGGTGGAGGCGGACAAAACTCTAGACGCGTTTTGGGCTCCAGAGTCGCTGAACAGGGCGCAAATCGATCGTGTGACCCCCACGAATGGATTTCTCGTTCGGAGACCAATCCATTGGTGGGGTCACACGTTCGGTTCGAGGTCTGTTTAGCGACTCTGGTGCTCGAAACGCGTCCAGAGTTTTGTCCGCCTCCACCGGTCTTCTGGCCCACTGTGCGGGGCCGGGCAGGGCGCCTGCCAAGTGGCGCGTAGGCCAGCCCGCCGCACAGCGCTGGCCGCGCGCGGCCCACCTCCCAGGGGCCCGGCCGGTCGCTCTGTCTCTGTCGCACTCACGGGGCGGCCCGCAGGGGTGCGAGAGAGACAGAGCGACAGGCCTTCGGAAGCCCTCGGCAGGCAGGCTGGCCTCTCGAATACCTCGTCGTCGAGGCGGCAGAAAAAAAGGGGGTCCCAAAAATGCGAGTGTGTTTTTTTTCTTCCCCGCTTGACGGTGTAGCGAGAGTACAAGCGAGGGCCCGGCCGGGCGCATGCAGCGAAGGTCATGTGTCTTTCCTTGCCACCTTTTTGCGCTTTTTTTCAAGGACTCCCCATTAAATTGGGCTTTGTGCCCCGCTGGGGAGGGGGCGGGGGGCCGAAGGGCGAGCCGAAGGGGCATCCAGGCCGACGAACCGCGCGGGGGGCTCCAGGAACACGACGCCACTGACACATCGGCGCCCTGGACGCGTCTCGTCCTCGTTCTGCCCCACCCGGGGAATGCACAACACTTCTCAAGCCGACCGGAAAATTTCTCCCCGCGCGCGACGACCTTGAGCAGAGGAGGAGAAGAAGAAGGAGGAGGAGAGGAAGGTGCGGCGGTGCGGTCGCAGGCTGTGTGCTCGACGCCGTTTCATGGCCCCGCCCCGCCCCGCCACGCCCCGCGGTTCGCCCGAGTCCCGAGTTTTATGGAGTGATGCGGTTCATATGAGAGGCTGGGGCCCAAGCGCAGGCCTCCGCTCCGCTCCCAGGGGGGGGAGGTGCCGCCTTCCAGGGCCTCGCCCTCTTGCTCGCCCTGGCCGGGCCTGGTCGGGCCTGGCCGATGGGCGGGGTGCCAACCTGGAGCTGCTAGCGCCTCTAGCTTCTAGCGCGCCGCCAACGCTTCCTTGGCCCGTACATTCACCTGCAAGGGGAGGGGCCCGGCGTTCTGTAGGGCAGAGATAACGGGCGCGCGCACAGACACACACACACACACACACACACATCTACACACGCACTATTTTCTGGAAGGTCCACGCCCCTTGATACAAGACCCCTGACCTGCCCCAACTTCTCGTTAAGTCGCCCATCACAGCAACTTTAGAGGGTGAGTGAGTGTGTGTGTGGGGGGGGGGAGTCTCTCTCTCTCTCTCTCTCTCTCTCTCTCTCTCTCTCTCTCTCTCTCTCTCTCTCTCTCTCTGTGCGGTTTCACCTCATTATTGAATCAAAAGCGCGGGAGAGTACGGTGATAGAAAAGAGTGGACTTTGCGGCCGGTCAACTCGTCGCTGTTTTTTTGTTGTTTGCAAGCCTCGCTGCACACATTGCTTTTTTTACTGTTTCACTTTTTTTTTAGTTTTAGTTCCTGGATAACCTAATTCTGCTATTTCACGAATGGGAGTGTAGGCCGGGTTTTCATGCCCCGGGTCTTGTTGTGGTGGATGCACTGATTAGGGTCGCCTATGCAAAGGCAATGCCAGGCCATGCCAGCATCCGGTTTAATAAGGGCAGCGTGGAGCGAGAGAGAGAAAAAAAGTGAAGTGAGAGAAAAAAAGGTTAAAATAGAAAGGGAAACAGGATTAGCACGAGGTATTGCCACGATAAAAAGGGCACCACGCGAAGACGAGGGAGGAGAGAGAGAGAGAGAGAGAGGAGAGAGAGAGAGAGAGAGAGAGAGAGAGAGAGAGAGAGAGAGAGAGAGGTGCCGGCGATGGCACGCTGGATTTATGCCTTGGTGATTAGTTTATCAGGGCGGGGCGCTGCAGCTAAATAAGAATAATACCGAAATGAGGGCGACCCTAAATAGTGGCGACAGAGTTACGACTTGTTAAGAAGACATCACGTGTTGCGTTTCCCTTTCACGCCTCTGCGCGCGCCAGTTTTATGTTTGTTGTAAGTAAAAAAGAAAAAAGGAAACAAGCTGAGGAGTTCGGAACCACGGACTTGTCCTTCCGTAGCTGGGTGCAGGAGCGCTCGCGGCTATACGGATGGCTCGATCGAGACTGCTGTTACCAACAGCTACGTTCATGAATGCTGGATGCGAAAAGAGGACTCCTCGCCGCCGCCGACGGGATTCGAACCCTCGAACTCTGCCGGCTGTTGGCTGCCTTTTACCGTGTGGGAGCGGCACTCCCGACCCCTCGCACCAGTTTATTCGTTAATCAGTTTCCTGTGTGGGGCTCTTGCCGCCGGTTGTGTGCCTTCCTAACTGGCAGGTTGTGGGTTCGGTTCTCCCCCTCCCCCTTTTTCCGCCTCCTTCTTTCCCTGCTCTGCGGACGCTGTTCGCTAAATTGGTTACCTGGCGGAAACCCCACCCAGTGATAACGATAGACCTTGACCGTGACCTTGGCGGTGAAAAAAAAAGTGGGAAACCCAATCATGCGCCGACGACGCGCGTGTCTGATGAAGGAAATTAGGGCAGTCAGACCGACGAGCAACACCAGCCAACAAAGCAAACTTTGAAAAGAAAAGAGAGAGAAAGCAACAACGCGCAATCTACGTCCAAGAGACAAGGCCAAAAAACAAACAACAAAAGGAGACCGCCGAAATGTCCCCGGTGCGTGGGTGGGCCGACACGGCCAACTCGGCCTTGCCGCGGACGACACGAGCGTGGCCATCGGCAGCGGGACGCGAGGCGGGACGCACCAAGGGCGGCCAAGGGCCGGACAGCCCTCGGCACAGCCCTCGGCACAGCCCTCGGCACAGCCCTCGGCACAGCCCGCACACGCAGATGGGCCGTCGCCTTTTGTCTCGGCTCCACTTATCTCTCTCTCTCTTTCTCTCTCTCTCTTTCTCTCTCTCTCTCTCTCTCTCTCTCTCCACACACACACACACACACACACATGCGCATAGACCCGGAGAGAGTGTCCTCCGGCCTAATCCCTTCATTATCAGTGAGGCTCCGCTTGGCCGGTCAGATTCTTCTTCCGTCTATCCTAATCCATCCCCTTATCGACACCTCTTCGGAACAAACGGCTATCTCCAAAGGGAGTGCAGACAAACGGCAATCTGTGTAAGTGCTGCAGACAAACGGCTATCTTTTTGACCCCTGCAGACAAACGGCTAACTGTTTTCTCCACTCCCGAGTTTGTTATACTATATATTTACAATCAATGAGACTGTCAAATTTGACCTATCCAACGAGGTCAAAAGTTTGTCAGAGCAGATGACACATAACATGAGTCTGTCACGTGCGTCTAACCTGAGAAAAACTCAAGGAACCCGGCCAACCCTAAACTCTCTCGAAAAGTAGTTAGCCGTTTGTCTGCAGGGGGTCAAAAGATAGCCGTTGTCTGCAGCTCCTCACAGATAGCGTTTGTCTGCATCCCTTTGGAGATATCGCTTGTTCCGAGGAGGTGTCGTTATCGCTCCTGCCCCGACGGTTACACACACACACACACACACACACACACACACACACACACACACACACGAGCGCATCATCATCATGTCGTCGCAGCCGGAGTCCAGTGTCTCTCGACGATCGGGTGATCGACACGCAACTTTATCTTCTTTCTTTTTTTGCGGGGTTGTTTTGTTTTGTTTTGTTCTTTTCGCGGTGCGGCTCCCGCAGCTGTGGTCTCCAGGGCGTTTGCCAGCGGCGTGACTCTTCGAGCGCCCAGCGAAGCTCGGGCGCGGCCCTTTTGAACGGACTACTTGGCGGCGGCGGCGTTGTTGACGACCTGGCCGCGTCGACGGTGACCTGGCCACGTCGTCGGTGACCTGGCGGCATTGACGGTGACCTGGCCACGTTGACGGTGACCTAGCCGCGTTGACGGTGATCTGGCCGCGTTGACGATGACCTGGCCGCGTTGACGGCGTCCTCGGCGAGCCGATTTCCAGTCCGTCGTGGCGGCCGCCAGGTGCGGGGCTTCACACGGCTTCGCACGGCTTGACGGCCACCTCTGTGCGCGACGCCGACTGCCTCTTCAATTAACGTTTTGGACACAGAACGGTGACTTTAATCCGCGCCGCAACCACGCGCCCCACCCCGCCACGTCCCGCCACGCCCCCACCTCTCACTTTATTCCTTTCTACGCTCGGTCTG